CACTATTCTCATACTAAATCCAAAACACAGCACTGTACCAGCTGCTAGGAAGAAAATTAACTCTACCCCAGCCGAAACCAGGACACACCTCTGGACTAAATGATGAAAGCAAGCAGCTACAGTTTTAGCAATAAAGGCAAAACTTGGCCTGTGTGTAACAGCAGACTCTTGTGCAGGGAGTTGAGATGAGTCATCTGTAAATTCTTCCAGCACCGTATGGGTTTGAGACCAGACTCAATGGCTTGGAGCATACCTACACAGCGGCAGATAAAAGTTGTTAACTGACACCACCATCAGTGTGTGGATGCTGGAAGAGGGTCTATCTGATATTAATTCTACCTAATTAGTGTAAGGCTACGTTATGGTTTGGTACTCGCCTGTTTTGTTTCCATATTTTCTCTAATGCTTTCACATACTGGAGTAAAGAAATTTGTCTTATGTTTATTAACCTGTGCACATGTGCATCTGTGGTGTTTTTTCTGATACGTATTTTGGGCTCCCTGCAGAACATGGTAATTTTACTCTCTCTTTCCAGAGAAGTGATTTCAAACAGCCAGTGCAAAGTTAAAGTACCTGCTTTTGAGTATCAGAGACACTTTTGGCATCTGGAGAACTAGGACTAAGTCGACAAGTGTGAAAAGTCCTCAAGTAGCCTAAGAATGCGCGACCACTTGATATTCCTTCTCGCTTCTTGTTCTCTTTGACTCCTTTCAAGTCACAGCTTTTTTGGGGTGGTGTTTTTTGGTGGTCTTTTTTTTAGTGCGGAAGGTAGCATTTAAAAAAGATGATCTCATGGGCGTTTTTATAAAAATAGTCTTTATGGTCACCATTACATATTTCAGCCCTGGTTCTGTGCTGGTGGAAGCAGTTGGGAGTCAATTTCTGTTTGCTTGATTTGTTTGTTTATCTTATATCATCATAGCACAGTTTTGGATCCTGCAATATCTGCTTTTCCTCCTCTTGCTTGATGATAGTGTAAAAGCAACTGTTCACCTCAGCAAATCTTAATCAGCTCAAAGTTTTGAAAATAATGGGTCAGAGCCTGCTGTCAGTTTTAGGGCGTATAGTTCCAGTGGCAACTTCATGGCTTGTCACTGGAAACAGAAAGGTTTCCAATAGGTGTGGGTGTAAACCCCAAATTTGACTAGTTTTCCTCTAAACCTCCAGCCTGGGTTCTGGAATCAGATACAAACTTTTTATTAAAACTGTACCTGCCGTTGTCCCCAGGCCGTAAGCAGGTGCTACGTAAAATCTGGGGATTTCAACGCTTGGCCCTACAGCAAGCAGCTTTCTCAGAATGCAGGTTATCAAACATAGAAGCCAGCAGCCAGTACAGAGGAAAGCATACTGCAGAAGTCAAAAGGTTTCAGATAAGGCATTCTTAAATTTAAAGTGTCGCTATCGGCAAGATAGTATGGTAGTGCTGCCTGTGTGTGTCAGCTTTAGGAAGAGAACGCCCGTCTCCTGAATCACCGTCCAATGTAACAGCAAGATCATCCTGTTTTTGAAATGATGGCATTTTAATCAATTGGAAAAAGCAGCTTGAGCTGGCAAAGTTCCTCTTCTTTATCCCCCTTTTTTTCTGCCCTTTCCAGCACTCATTCAATGCAGCTAAACTGTGGCCAGAAAGATTTTGCAGAGAGCAATTCCAACAGTATTCTCTCCAGAACTGAGACACCCTCCGCTCCTTATTTCTGCCAGGAGCAAATTTTTAGGAGTGATTTATCAAGTCCCAGGCCTGGGGGCTTTGTAATGGAAATGCTGACAGACCCTTAACTGTAGCATTGTGAAATGCAACGCTGTAATACAATGAATAATATTCATGAATCTGCCATAATGCTGGATATTATCACTCATTACCATTGTAAGAAAGGGGTGATTAAACTAATAGTTACTGAGAGACATTTCTGGTGACAGGAGGCAATGATTAGAATGAACTGACTTCAATATACATTTAGAACTGGGAATAATGGGATGTGGCAGGAAGCCAATAAGTGAACATGGCCCACAGCTCTGATCAATGAATTACTTTTTTTCCGCTTTACAGCAGTACATGGTGTTTAATGAAAAATCAATAGCCCCCTGTAACTCAAAACTGTAATCAATCGTTTGACCTGAAGCTTTCCCTTTTTTTCTTTTTTCCTTTCCCTGCCTCCCCTACCAGGGAAGATGTCTTCGGCTGACGACACAGTTCAATTGCAAGGCGCAGTACTTCACGAGGCTCGCAGAAGGAACCTGACACAGGTCTGCTGCAATTTATACCAGCTGCAACGTATATATTTATATGGAAATCTGGGGATGGACTCGGTCAGATGTTGCTGCAGCCACGGCCAAGATTGGAAGGTGAAATGAGAACTCTTTGCTCCTGCTTTACCCTCTCATCACTAGCCGCGAGGAGTTTTACGGCAATCGGTCTCATTCAGGTCCGGCATGAAGGCATCTGTGGCCCGAGGCAAGTTGAGAACGGTTGGCCCCTTTATTCAGGCTGCAGCCGCTCCTGCGACCCAGAGTCAAGAAACACTTTTGCTGCCCCAGGCAGTTGCCTTCCCTGCCTGTGTGAGAGACAGCCTGTGTCTGCCCCTGCCTTTCACCGCAGCTGGTCAGAAGAAATCTCTGGTTAGTAAAGCAGCTCTCTGGAGAGCTCTGTTGGGATGTCCCCTAAGTCCTTTCAAAACTGCAGATGATGGATCATAGGTGTTCAGTGGTGCTGCAAGTCATTGTACTGTTTCTCACAGGGAAGGTCTTCCCACCAGGAAATACTTGGGCTAAGTAGGTCTTTTGGATTCGGCGGAGCTCTGTCAGTTGACATCATTGGATCTGACCTGTTAAACCTCTGCTTTATGTAGGTGTGAATTAATTCAGCTTTGTTTTGAGCACAGCGACAGAGGCACAGGTGAGAGAAAAATAATGCAGTTGAGTGTTTTTCTCTTGGAAAAGTCAGAGCGATGCTTTTGGCATGTAGGTAGGTCATGTCATCAGTGCCGTAGGCCTCCTGTGCCTGTCAAGGCTGTCAGAGGGGTTTATTTTAAACAACAGGGGAAGGGAGGAACTCGGTGTTGGAAATAGGTGGGAAATTCACCCGGGTCATTGGTGCCTATTGACTTAGGAAGAACGATACGTTACTCTACGTGTTGGGACAGGTTCTGTTATATATTACAGGAAAAAGTTTTCTATCTGAATTTGCTGTGAAGTTGGAGAGTTGTTGCTGGTAACGCTATCTATCCAGGGTCTTACTGGGCTAAACTGATAGCAGGTGTGATGTTGGGCTTATGTGCAATTGCTCCTGATCTGCATGAGTGAGAATAGGAAGAAAAATATAAGTCTGGCATGTCTCAGCAGCACCTTGTTAAAAATGTTAGTGAAGCTGATGAGCAGCATTTCCATCCCAAGGATAAGCCATTTCTATGAACCAATAATAAAACCCTACTCTCAGCAAGTTCCCAGAAAGGACAGATTTTGGAAAGCTAAGGTTTTATTCGAGAGCTACTTGAGTGGGTTTTTTTCTTCTTTTTTTGGTGTGTCTTTCCTCTCCCTTGCTGGCTTCTTGCTCTAGTCTTGTCACCAGCTACTGAAACCTAACATCATATCCAAGGGAAGAAAATGAAGCATCGACAATGGCAAAGGCCTGCCTACTGCCGGATTGTTCCTGACTCTTTCGCTCAGCCTACTTTTAAATGATTCAGTGACAACATGTCACCCTTTTCCATTCCAAGACAGGTCATAAATGGGAAGGTTTTTGCTCATGACCTAAGCTCTAAGATATGGTCTCAGTATGTTGGTTTTGGTCCCTCTTTAACTACTGACTAAGCAGTTTTTCTTCCTTGATGCATTAGAAAGATAAATGGGTTAAGCTGAAATTTACAGCATCTCTCCAGTTCCTCACTCCCCGCACCCACCCCTACCCCCCTGCTATTTGTTGTAGTGCATGAGGAGAAGAGAGCAAGCGTGTCTCTTGGGTTTGACGGCTCCCTTCTGCTTCTCCGTCTTCTGTGGCCGCTGCTTTGCCTGTTAGCTGAATGGCTGATTTCCTGGCACGGAGACAACGCCGGTCCCTTGGCGGGAAGCTGAGCACACGCAGTATTGCCAAGCAACACTTTCTCATGGATTGTGTGTGCCACAACTTTTCCTTGGTGTCATGTGCTGCAGTCTTCTGGTTTTTCTTTCCATCCAGTGAAAATGCATATGCCTTGGGATGTGGGAGTGAGTGGGTAGATGTGGGATCTTAGCGGGCTGGGGGAAATACTAGGGTGGAAGGGCCGGGTTTCCTTAGGGGCACAGATTTAGTCAGAAAAGCATGTGTATTTTGGTCTGTTTCAGAGCTTTGGGTGGAAGCTGGACTGTAAAAGAATATTCCGTGTCATAGCTGCACACATGCCTGTATGCTTCTCTCGTGAGAGCGTCGATTGCTTCCCTGTCCACTGGCACGCTGGGCCGGCATCTGTCATTGCGCTCTATGAACCTCGGCTGGACACGGCAGGTATGGCCCCGGAGGCAGGTAGACCTCAGCTGAAAACTAAGTGCTTTGAGCAGGCCTGCCACACCGCTGAATTAGGTTCCCGCTCTTTCTCCTTCATTCTCTCAACAGCGCTTTACCTTAAATGACTAGTATTCCCTGTGTTACATCTTACTGACCTCTTTGCTTTGAAAACACAAGTCTTGGTTTGAGGAAAAGCTCCTTGTATTTATAGGCTGCTCTTGAGAGGTATTGGTGCGGGGAAAAGGAGTTTGTTGGAAGGTGGGGAAAATCGAGGCGGTCCTTGCCGGACTGCACAGCAAACAAGCTGCACGAGGAAAACCAGAAGATCCCCTTTGAGTATTTACCAGTGGCCTATGCATTTGTTAAGTGTTCTGTTGTCATATGGAAAATACGTCCCATCCCGTAATAGCTTGTTTTGTGTTAGACCTTGCTCTCTGCTTGGAATACAGGAGTTACGTTGCAGGTGCGCGTGTCGATAGGACCATGGTCTTGATATACTGTGTAGGAATGAGTTAGGGTTCTGGACTTCTCTGGTCCAAAAGGTCCTGTGCTAAAGCTATTGAGACTCGGAAAAAGGGGAGTGGATTTCACCCAGAAAGAACGTGTTCTGGGATAGCTGAGCGGCAGTAATTTTGCGGTTGCTCCTGAAACTGTTCCCGAATTGGGAGAGAGAACTGAACGCAGCACTTGAAACATTCACGCTAGTTTTATATGTCCTGTTTGGCTCTGAAGATGCACTTAGGGCTTTTATTCCTCTTCGATTCCGGTAGCCTGAGTAGTGACACTGTTGTGCTGCTGTGGGCGCAAGCCGAGTGGTCTCTGCTGTGGCTCCTTTTCTCTCCTGTAGCTCCCAGACCTTTGCTGCTGTTCAGTCTGAAAGAGGACTGGACAAGGGCTTTGGGATTTGGCTTCAGCAGAGGTGAGGCCTTAAATGCAAGGAAAATGGAAAGAGTGGAACCATCTTTCCTCGAGAGCTCGCTCCCCACTGCTGCAGCCGAGCCTGCCACCAGAGCCACATCCGTGGCTCTGAACTGTCCACAGTTACAGCAGGGAAGCAATAATGCTACTGATAACAATGCTGTGAGTCAGAGAGGCAATGTAACTCTCAATCTGGATGTTGCAAACCTCATCCCGCCAATGGAGTGAGTGAATTTGCAATAACAGTGCAATTGCTGCGATGGCAGCTTGTCAGGCGGCTACTGGAGCAACGAGAAGCTCTCAAGCTGTGGTAAATACACTCTGCATCGCAATTATGTCACAGACCACATCCTATCCCGAGCTCGTTTGCTAAACAAAAAGGGCCAGCTCCTCCACTGGTGTAAACTGGGCTAGCACTGCTGACTTGGGTGGGCGAGGGCTTAACCCTGGGATGATTCTCTAAAGTCTCGCTACCAATCTCTTCATCTAATCTCATGCCATTGAGAGATGAACCTGTATTTTTACCTACTGCTGCATGACTTAATTGATTTCTATTTTTTTAAAATACTGTTTGTTAATTCACATTGTGTATTTGGCCGAGCAATTATATGCATGGCCATATTGTGTGACTGCAGCAGTCTGGTGCAGTGCAAGGAATGCCACATCATGTGAGACGTTTCATCTCCATGAGTAACCTAGTCACTGTGGTAAATGAATACATGAGTACAGTACATCCAGGAGAGATTAAATGTATTGACCGGTGCCTCTAGTCACCATACAAATGTCATTGTTTTTTAATTTCCCCCCCCACCCCTTTCTTGTTTTCCCGACACATTTTGGTCCCCTTTTCGTTTCTCCCCTTTTCCCTTAAGTAGAGATGACACAGATCAATACCTTTGATGGAAAGTAATAATCAGGCCTATTAAGTGACAAAGGTTTACTCTGTAACAGCTGTGCTGGCGGGAGAGGAGAGCTTGTCTGACTAATGAATCATGAAACAATCAGGCAGTAGCCATTTGTGTTTAGATCTGTAAATATGGTGTGGTTCAAGTGCCAGACCATCTCCAGCACTCCAGCTGGGGGCACAGATGGTCCACATTCAGAACAGCACAAGTGTAAAGAAAAGCTTCCCCCCCCTTCCCTCTCTCCTTCTCTGTCCCATACTGCCCCTCTCAGAGGAACAGATCAGCTAGCTTGAGGATAAACTTGTGTTGCGGGCAGGAGTCGCAACATCAGCCTTTCAGACTGAGCAGCTCCCAGCAAAATGCTTGCTCCCTTACTTGTCCAAGGGGGGAAAAAAGCCAGGAAAACCCTCAAATTCTATTTGTTGTGTAAGGGACTCATGTTTTGGACTAAAAATTGCGTTTTATTCCTTGCTTTCTACCCCTTTGATTTCTTCTTCATGCTCTACTGACAGATTTCCTTCTGAAAGGCACGATGATGTCAACTTGTTAACTCCTAAAGGGCAAGTGAGTGGCACATCAGGAATTCAAAGCTAAAGCGCAGGAGCACAGGCCCAGCGAGAGAGGGAGAGAAATAAAGTTGTCAGGGAGTTCAAGCTGTCTCCACTCTCTTGACTGCAGCTGAGAGTGCTGCCTCCAGTACCGGTCGTTGATGCAGCTTTTCCCTTTGCCTCCTACGGGCCCGGTCGTTGATGCAGCTTTTCCCTTTGCCGGGAGGCCGGGGATCCCGGCTAACGCTGAAGATGCTTCTGATTCCTTCCCCCCCTTTACCCCCCCTTCCCCCCAAGAGCTGGTTCCATGATAATGAGTATGTGTTGAGCGCTTTCTCACCTGCAAAAGGAAAACAGCAGATCAAGTAGCCCTGTTGATGTAAAATATCAGAAGTTCAATTCTGACGAGTTTCACTGTTTTAAATATGGACTTTAATGCAGTGAATTAGACAGACCTGCTTTTCTGTTATCTTTTACACTGATGGAACTCCAGAGAATCCAAACGACGAGAGAAAGCGTAACACAGAAATAGTAACAATTTCAGGCCACAAAGATCTCCCTTTAATCGGTGTGTGCCGTTAGAT